TTTTTTTTTTTTTTTTTTTTAACTACTTTTACTACTATTTACTAGTTCAACACTGGTACTTGTAAACAGAATGTCAGTAGTATGTGCTCATCAAATATGGAATTGTAGTTATTACATTACATAAAGTTGACATTTTGGTCATTTGATAGTGAAAACTGACAAGTATAATAAAATATATACACCACACAGGTTGAGGCATTTTGTACAATAGAAAATTGTGCTTCATGGTGGTGGTAGAAGAAAGCTCATTAAGTGAAAGTTGACAGGCTTTATTTTCGTCAGAATTATAGTCACAAAATTCAAGTCAATACATTTCAAGATGTGCATGCTGTGGCCAAGGGTTAACCGTAATATGACAAAACAATAAAATGACAATATATTCACATTGTGCAAAACATTTTACATGAATTATGTGTTTCTCACTTCTTTACAGTAATGTTTCCTTCAAATGCTCATTAAGAGACTCACAAACATAACTTAAACATAAGTTAAACATAACTCTCTTAACATCACTATAAGAAAATTCAGTAGTGCAACTAGAAAGTGAATTCGGAGAACCTGAGAAATTGAACTGTAAAACTTTAAGAGAGGGATCTACAGTAACTCAAACCCTGTAAAATCAACAACACCTGTAGCTCTTCTCTTTGAAATGCACGGGGTTTCCAGACCAACAAAACAGGAAGGGGAGCAATTTTTTTTACTGAGTAAATGAAGCAAGGTATTGTTTGTTGTTAGTGTGTATGTCAAAAGATTGGCTAGGATTACTTAGATTAATTTTGTAAAGGGAAAAAATGCACATTGTCTGCAAATGCAGATGAATTCAAAACCAGATTTATTATGTAAAGATACTAACGTAACATTTTATTGTTAATATTACACATTGTAATTACATAACATTTACATTCACTCAGATTTGTTTTTTTCAGTGCAGTAGAAAGAGCTATCTTACCACTTTGGCCAGGAAGGGTAGCCATTTTCCTTCCAATGGTCCTTTTGAGTTTGTCAGCTCTTCTGTACATAGAAAACAACATAAATATTAGTCCTGTCCTCCTTCTTGCTACTTTTCTGCTGATACAACAGTCCTGGCAGTAATTTGTATGAAAGAATTCACACCTTATTTATGTATATAAGTTTTTAAATGTTAAACTAATAGACAGGGGCTGTATCTGAAATGCTGCTGTCCCATTAACAGACGTTGTCATGGAATCGTTTTGGTTTTGACCAACAGGTCAAATAGATCTGACAGATATCCTGTTCAATTTTAGTTGTTTTATATTGTATCAAATAAAAAGCAGAGTTTAGATAGTTTGACAGTGATATGCAAATGTTTTATTTGCAAACTGGCATTACAGAGATTTTACCATTTTTATTTTGACTCTTATCAGTTTGGAGGATCCTGAGATGAACATTTGCTCACCTTGCTCTACACATTTCACAGGATACACAGACCTTTGTAAGTCTTTTTTTTTTCTCTACAGAGCAGCTGAAAGGACCTTTGGAGGATTATGTGAACAAGCGCTACCCTGGGCTTGTGAAGATAGTAAGAAACCAGAAAAGAGAAGGACTGATCCGGGCCAGAATCGAAGGCTGGAAGGTGGCTACAGCAGAAGTTACTGGATTTTTTGATGCCCATGTTGAGTTTACTCCCCAATGGTGGGTACTGGGATACATTTTAAAAACATTTACAGCTCCCTAATGACAAACATAAGATTTCACACAGGTCTTTATCTCATTTTATTTAAAATTCGTATTTTTTTGTTTGATATCTTTTTTTATCCCAATAAAAATCCCACCTATATTTACTCTGTTTTTTATGAATTTCCAGTATTTAAACATTTCACAATACTCCAGTATTTTTGTATTTTTATTATCTGTAAATCATACGCATTGAAATTACAAGCAATAGACTTAGACACATTTTATTGCCATTTTGTCCACACAATGAAATTCAGTTGCATACAGCTTACAACAGTGAAATGAGCAGCTTGCAGCAGTGAAGCAGTGAAATTAACATTAGCATCATAAAGTACAGCAGTGGTCAAAATGTAACATTGTGGGAGAAAAGCAACCAGTTTAAAATAATGGTGCAATAGGGCATTAATATGGAAAGGTTCAGTGCAGTGCAAAATATATATGGTGCAAAATGCAGTATAACATTGGGTTGTTTCCTATTTAAAATGGTTATAAAAGTTCAGCACGTTGGTAGTGCAAATTAAAGGCTAGGAAATACAATTTTCTTAACTGAGTTGCAAATCAAACTTTTTCACAGTACTGTGTTGTTGTTTTTTACCGGTGTATGTTTGCTAATAATGCAGTGAGTTGGAGTTTTAGTTTCTGTAGACGTTAAATTTTTTTGATACCTATAGTGTATTTCGGGGAGTCGCGGCCTAGTGGCTAGGGTGTTGCGTTTGGATTAAAGAGGTTCTGAGTTCAAGCCCCTCTCCGACGGGCTGCCAATCTGGCTCCCTCAGCTAGCAAGACCCTTAACCCCACACCGCTCCCTGGGCGCCACACAATGGCAGCCCACTGCTCCCAAAAGGGATGGGTTAAATGCAGAGGTAAATTTCTCCAATGTGAGATCAATAAAGTTCAATTGTTATTATTCAACCGCTCTCTGCTTTAGAAGATGCCAACTGTATTGGTAGCATCTCATTTTAAATAGGAAAATAGATGTCCAGATAATCATCTTCTGCTTCGTATTTGCTCCATTTCTGCCCCTTACTTTTATCTGATATAAATATTTAGGCTGCAAATACATGTCTTTTCAGTGAGATTCTGGCCACTACACTGCATCTGACCAGAATAAAAGCTCTCATAAAGAAGCTGTTGTTCTGCTGGGTAAATCCATCTATTGTTGGTCACAGACTAGAATTTCCAGTATCAATAAATTTGTAGTCATCTTGTAAGAAACAGATGGCGCCTCCAGTGATATCACAGGATTTAATTTAGCCGTTCTTATCAGATTGTCATACAGACTATGACAGAATCAATTTGATTAGCGCTCAGAGGATCAGCGGGCTCAACCTCTGCTATAGTCTGGATTCTGAATACAGAAAAGAAGCTGAGTTAAGCATATGGGCTTCATAAAAACGAGACATAATAATTAGTTTCCTGTTTAAAGTTTTACTTGAGCTTTTTTATATGAAGTGTAATTGTGTTAATGTCTTTATGTTCTCTGGTCAGGGCCGAGCCTGTGCTGGCCAGAATAAAAGAGGACCATAAGAGGATCATCCTGCCGTCCATCGACAACATCAAACATGACACCTTCGAGGTGGAGCGTTATGAGAACTCGGGCCACGGCTACAACTGGGAACTCTGGTGCATGTACATCAACCCACCTAAGCAATGGTGGGACGAGGGTGACCTGTCTGCTCCCATAAGGCAAGAAGGATTTCACTTAAATATTGTAAAAATGATAGGTTATAAAATCACATAAACAGATGAAGGGAATTCTAGTTTCCATGATTAAAAAGATCTAAAAAAAAAACATATCCTTTAAGAAATCAGTCCTCGGACTGATTTCCACATTTAATTTTTGACCCTAAAATTAGCTTCATTTGAGGTATATAAAATAATTTTTCAGGTTGAATGTACAACATCTGGCATGCATTTGTGGTCCATGCAGCTACCCTTCTCAGAAACTCACCTCCTCTCCCCTCGAACATGAGAGCTACCCCTAAACAGAAATAAGATCAAACATTTACCCTCTCAGACATGTTTTTGGTTCTCTAATGTAGAATTTAATCTATATGGGTGAATGTGGCCTTGTCTTTAAAAGTAAGTCCATGACTTCTCATCTGATTTATCACCTGCTGGTCCAAAAGGGTCTGACCAGCTGATTAGATCATTAGATCTTTGTGAAAATATACAAACATGAGCTAATTCAGACATTTGATTTAGATTTGTTGGAACAGGAACGTGTCTAAAAGTTGCAGGACACTGGCTCTTAAGGACCAGAGTATGTCTCTTCTGACTAAATATTTCAGTGTTGCTCTGGCTGTATATTCAGCATAGTAGCCAAACCTCAGTCCTACCCTCAATTGTTTTCATTATCTAACAGATTTTCCTTTCTTATTTTTCTGCATTAAGCTCCATCCATCTTCTATCTGTGTGTTATTTCGTTTTAGGCAGATCCATGTTTTGGTAGGTTTGCAGCTGTACCATAGTATCTCCATTTTTACTAAAAAGAATTTAACAGAGATGTTTAAGTTTTGGATTTTTGTTTTTCTCTGCAGTCTTCACACACCAGCTCCATTTATACTGATATTGAGTTATACAGTGATGTATTAAATCTAACAGTTTGCTGGGTTCTGATGGCTACAGGTAGCATTGGATTTTATTCAGGCATTTCAAATTGAAAGAAGCTAAACACTGTTGCAGCTCCTCATTCAATTTTTCCTCCTCTCTTTACTAATTATGCATTACTTTACTGGAATCACATAAATCCCTCTTAAATACATTGAATTTTGTTGTTGCAGCATGAAAAGATCTGAATAATTTCAAAGGGAATGAGTACTTACAATATCCCACGACCAACTCCACCCTTTTAAAATATTTTAGCATTTTAATGGAAAGTAAAAATGGAAAATGAAAGTTTCTCAAATATACATATTGTACAGCTGTTCCTCACAACAGAATTTTAAAGCATTTCTTGTTTTTGTTGTTTTTGTTTGTTTTTTTGTAGTCTCATGGAAGGAGGTTAGAGGAATTGTAGGTCTCTGTGTGTAAATCAACACAGGATGAAAATAGGTGTTTTCTTTATGATATGATATGTATGATAGATGAGGCTAGCTTAGCTGTCAAAAGTTTTATTTTTTATATATTTAAGAGAAAGAAAAAGCAATAAGCAGATTAATAGAATTAGGGATAAGGCAAATCATTTTCCCTCTGAGAATATTCACAATTTTATAGCTGGTGCCCCAACCAATTTGAGACAACAAATAATCCTGCAGAAATGTTTTATACCCAAGGGTCCGAGTCTTTCAGGGTGGCAGGGCCTGCACTGTATAAAAACATAATTGGGAAAAAAGATTAATAATTTAACAGAGGATGAATTTTGCATTCGCAGAGTAATTTTCCACAATTTAAAATTTGAATTATTTTCATCAAGCATGTTCTTTTGGAAATGTACTTTCTGCAGGACTCCTGCAATGATTGGATGCTCCTTTGTGGCTGACCGGGATTACTTCGGGGAACTCGGTCTGCTGGACTCAGGCATGGACGTCTACGGAGGGGAGAACATTGAGCTGGGCATTAGGGTTTGTGTGTCACCCAGTTTCCTTTTGTTCTTGAGCACTCTTTACCCCTGCAGGTTTAAATGGAGCAGTGGTCGCTGTAGCATGGCATAACTGATAAATGAGGCCCCATTAAGGGTCCTGGAGGACCAGTCCTGTGTCTGCAGCTGACAGCAAGCCAATAGAGATAAATAGGTCATAGAAGCAGGAAGGGTGTAGAGTTTCTTTCTGCACATTCTTAGAGATAAAAGAAAAATAAATCTGTATAAATAGTTACCTTTAGATTAAAAATGAAAAAAAAAATACAAATTGTTCTTTTATGTTGCTACTGAATAGTATATAATATCTCTGTTGGCTCTTATCCTGCACATGTTTAAGGAAATCAAAAATTAATTTTTGAGAATTGAGGATGAATAAAAAATCCAAACAGCCCACTATTAACCACATTTTGTTTACTATGAACATGTCTTTAGATGTTTCTGCCAATCTGCTGAGCAGTTCTTTTTTCTAACGGTGTGTTTCTGCCTGCAGGTTTGGCTGTGTGGCGGCAGCATGGAGGTGCTGCCTTGTTCCAGAGTGGCTCACATTGCTCGAATAAAGAAACCCTACCACAGCAATATAGCATTCCACACCCGGCGCAACGCTCTGCGAGTCGCCGAGGTCTGGATGGATGAGTACAAATCCAATGTGTACCTGGCCTGGAACATCCCAATTGAGGTGAGAAATAAGCTGTAGAAACACGATGATGATAGCTTACATACAGCAGGCACTAGAAAATACCTTCGTTCTATGGAAGAAATTGAGACCAAAACAAAGTGTGAATAACTACTGCATTACTGTTAGATGGTTATAGATGCTGGATGAATCTCTTCTAACAATTATACATTAACATTCAATCATCATATAAGAAAATGTATTATCAAAAGACATTTTATTTAAACTTAAAGATCCTTTACAGAGTTAATTCCTAACACCAAGTTTGCTAAACATACAAATTTTAGTTTTGCCTGTTTAATTAAATTAATTTAGACCAGGCCATTCCTACCAGAAAATGCTTTAAAGTAGGTTTGAAACAATAAATCGGATTAATCGTGATTAATCGATTATTGAAATAACCGTTGATCGCAGCCCTACTTTAAAGTGGGTTCTCTGTGCTCTTGTAGAACCATGGCATTGATTATGGAGACGTTTCTCAGAGGGTGGCGCTGAGGAAAAGTCTGCAGTGTAAGAGCTTCCAGTGGTACCTCGACAACGTTTACCCAGAAATGAGGAGGTACAATAACACGGTGTTCTACGGTGAGGTGAGTCATCATTCAAACCGACATGAGGGGGAAAAATCCTGAAGGTCAAAGCTGCTTTTACCGTAGCCAGTGGAGAAATCTCAGGGGAGATTAGAAAACAGCAATACAATCTTAACGATGAAACTACGTGGTTCACAAATTTATATTCAATGCAAAAAACTGACCTTTTAATAGCAAAGCTGTACATATTGGTTGAAAGCGTTATTTTTTGTTCATTTCAGATCCGTAACTCCAAAGTGAGCCACTTGTGTATGGATCAGGGTATGAAGGAAAACCACACAGCCACCCTTCACCCCTGCCATGGCTGGGGTCCTCAGGTACAACACACACACAGTATGCTATAAAAATAAATTAGATGGTTTGTTTCCCTTTAGAATACACACTATTCACCATTTTGCTGCCATATATCACAGACAGGCTCAGCTACAACTCTCTTAGGATAAAATTTTGCTGTCAGTTTAAAAATGTTGGTCTTTCACTTTTTGCAATAAAGTACTGAGTCAGCAGGTGTCAACTCATGAGCTGCTTTTGGCCCACTGGGCATCCAGGTTTAGCTCACAGCTTCAGGGGTTGGCAGAATTTGCCTGCTGTATCTAATCACACAAACCTTTAAAATCTTGTTGGGGTTTCGGTGAAGCAACATTTTTCTTATTGCATTTTAAATATTAATACATTAAAGCATTCATTATTTATTTAGCATTTCTGCAGTCCCCTCGCCTCAACACTGATTTATTGATTACTTTTAACAGAAGCTTTGGATATACAGTTTATGCTGCCAATGCCAAATACTGGTAGTCTGTATATTTCATCATTATCAGATTTCAGAAAGCAATTAAGGTTCTAATGGTTCAGTTTAACCCTTCCATATGTCTTGAACTGTTTTAAGTCCCCTTACCACTGAAACACAAGCAAAGCATGTCCTCTGCAAGGCCTCCTGAAGAAGTCTGTCATTAAAAAGGACTTTTCACTCAAATCTTCAAAGCCACAAATGAATCTCTCATATTTTTGATCAGCATACCCCCAACCCAGTAATCTGTCAACTCGAACTATAAACAAATTTTAATAATAATAGTAATAATACATTTTATTTGTAATGCACTTTACATTTTAGAAAAAAATCTCTAAGTGCTAAAGGTAAAATCATCATAGAGGGGTAAAATCAAAATGTTAAGGTAAACATCGCTTTAAAATACTTATGAATAAAATCAATAGCATAATTGTAAAATGTTAAAAGTCATACGTCCTGCTAAAAAGAAATGTTTTTAATCCTTTTTTTTAAAGTCTGAATAGTCTGTGGTTCCCTCAGATGATCAGGGAGGGCATTCCAGGTCCGAGGAGCGGCAGAGCAGAAGGCATGATTGCCCATGGTGCTTAGCTTAGTCTTGGGGAGGAGGAGGTGGTTTGAGTGTTTTGAGGGGCGGGATCGTGTTGTAGTGAGTGGGGTGACCAGTTCATTCACGTATAGTGGGGCATTTCCATAGATGCACTGGTGGGTGAGAATTGAGACCTTGTATTCATGCCTGTTGGAGCGCTCTCTGTCAAGACACAAAACAAAGGACCCAGTATTCAGGCAAGAGGCAAGAGACAGTGGGATTACTCAAAAAGCATTTTAAAAAATGGCGCATCTGAGTAGCTGCGGCTAGGTCGTTTAAGTCTGGAAACTCTGCAGGAGAGAAACACAGGTTAGTGACCACATAAATCTATAATATTATGAACGTGAGTCACTAACCGGATTTACAAGTTCAGTTGAAGCCCAGAGAACGAGGTAGGATCAGGCCGGTGGGGTGCGAACACTATGCGGCGGGCGCGGCCCAGAGTGTCCCAGATGCTGCAGCCCCGGAGAACAAGCAGGAGTCCGAAGACAGGACAGGCAAACATATCAGAACAGGCAGGCTCAGAGATCCAGGAGTTCAACGACTGTTCAAGCAAAACGTTCAGACGTGAACAGGTAGGTTCAGTAGTTGAGAGGCAGAGCAGGTCAGGATCATGTAATCGAAACATTAAGGTACGCTAAAAACACTCTCATCACTGAGATCAGACAGAACAGGCAGGCTCAGTGGTTAAGAGGCAGAATTAGACAGGTGAATAAAGTGAGTAATTAAGCCAGTTATCAGTTCCAAGATCATGACACTCCCTTGAGAAAGTCAACATGAAAACATCTTCCGGAAAAATAAAAATTTATTTTGAACTGGAACTGAAAATTCTACCCTCCCTGAAAAAAAGGAGCTCTCTTACTGTATCAGTAACAAGCATCATCTTTTTTTTTAATAAGGTCCAACAGAACATGTAACTTTTACTGAAAACTGAGAGATTTTGTGGTGCATTTAAGGTACACCATGTCAATTCTAGAGTGTATGTCAGCCTGTAATAAAGCCCAGGTAATAGGTACTATTTTAATTGTTTTTCTATTGATATATTGTTTGTTTTTAATTAGTCTTTTATCTTCATATTCAACACACCATATTTCAATATGAGCTCATTTGAAGAGCTCTGTAGAGCTTGACTGCTGCTAATGAAGCAGTTTAGCCATTGATTCAGGTGTGAATCACCAGTTAAGTAAAAAGGCTGAAGGACGGCTACCCATTGATTTTACTTAATAAAAATCTATCTCAATCAACTTTTTAACTTCAGGTACAGATTTTTATACAGAAACAGCAGAGCTTATTTTTTTCAGCTCTGGTGTTTTTTTTTTTTGGGTTGGGACACCGGATTCAGGAAGAGATTATAGTTGATAACATTAACTAAGAGGAAAAAACTCCATCAGTGGCTGTATACAAGCTGGTGGAAAACAAAAGACTTGTTTTGTTTCTCATCATCCACTGAAACAACAACAACTCATTTTGTATAAAGCACACCAAAATAAGTGTGTGCGATCATGGGCAGTTCCTGTTACTCATCATCCAAAACTTGCCCTTTTCACAGTTCTATTTTAGTTTTTTTGTTTTTTTATTATAACATTGAAACATTATAACATTTAAAGCCAACTGAGGCATTTCAGTCTGCTAGCAACTTGTTACATTACAGCATTAAGATCTTTCCAACCTTAACTTTATTGTATTTTATTGACAGAGCAATACAGCATTTTAAACAGGCTTTTAGCTAGGAATATTTCATAGGGTGTAAACCTTGGATTATCACATCGTTATGCTTTGCGCAGCATAGAGGGGGTCTGGAGGTATCCTCCCCCTGGAAAAGTTTGAAATGTAGACTCTGAAACACTATTTCCTGCATTTTGGTGTGGAATGCAGCTAACATATTGTTTTTTATTTTTGAGCACTACTTTTGTCTTGATTATGGGAAATATGTGTTCTTGACTAGAGGTGGATTTTTAAGTACAATATAATGTCTAATCGGTTAATTCAAGCAATCAGAAAGTGTAATGCTATGTTCACATCGTGATTTGTGCAGCAAAAAAAATCATCTGCTTCTTAATTTTTGATGCTTGTACACATTAAGGTCAAGAGTATCTTTGACGCTCATGAAGCGCATCCAATAGAGTGTGTCCAGATGCGTCTGATGCTTCTGCTGCTCCTGTGTTCAATGCCAGAGAGCTGCTTTGCTATATTTGCTGTTGTAAGTGGGTAAAAAGTAGTTTTGATATGTTTTTAAGTGAGACAGTCCAGCTGAAAACATCATCTGTGCAGTCAGTTCATCAAGATTATGATTCTGTCTTAAAATATTTTTTTGTGTTGCGGTGGGCTGTCACTGGGAATCCCAAGCAGCTGCTGCCCCAGACCCGGTTGCTTCTTGGGGGATTTCCCTACTGTTCATGGTGGCTGGAAGTCAATGTTAGCGTTATTCATGTATGTGGCTCAAACTGCAAGCACCAGGATAATAAAAGCAAACATATTTTGTTGGCGGGTTTCAACATTTTAGGTTAGTTTAGGCATTACATTTTCAGGGGAGTGATCATAGCGTTCTGTATCAGCAGTGCTGTGTCTGTCTCCCTGCCAGCTCCCAGATCCGCTTCTCTGATTGGCTTATGTGGCGTGTCGAGCAGCAAAAGTTAATTTTTTCCAACTCCAGCATCTGCTGCTTGGGAAATTTTGAACATTTGAGCGAAGTTTCCAGGGGAAATTTTTTTTTAGTAAAGGCCATACAAAGTACAGCCGTACGCATTGCTAGCTAAGCTTGATTGCCAATAATTAGCGATACTCATGAGGTGAACCTTTAATTTTTATGTGTGGTTTTACAAATACAAAAATCAAAAAAGTGTGGCGAGAACTTGTATTCAGTCCTGTGTCACAATGCTTGGTGCCGGAATTACAGCTTTAAACCTTTGTGTTCATGTACAGATCTAGATACACAGCTTTGTGTTTGGGAGACATTATATTGTATGGTAACAATATCGAAAGGTTCAGATATATGAATACTTTACATTATGTAGGATGGAGTTGATTTCCTACCATGCTGTTTCTTTTTGTACAGTTGGGACGCTACACCAAAGAGGGTCAGCTGTTCCTGGGTCCGCTGGGAAGCACCGGTGAGGACACTCGCTGTGTCGTAGACGATCAGACCAGCAGCTTTCCCCAGCTCCTAAACTGTGACAAAGTCACCAACGCCAAGCAGAAGACATGGGACTTCTCTCAGGTGAGGAAGAAGGAAGGAAGTGGTTGTACTGAAAACAGTTCAGTATTGGTTTAGACGGTATGTCTAAACCAGGGGTGCTCAAGTCCAGTCCTCAAGAGCTACTATGCAGCAACTTTTTTATACACCCCATTTTTAACACACCTGAATCAAATGAGTGGCTCATTAGCATGCCTCCGCTGGGCTAAATGAGGAGATTGAGCCTTTTGATTCAGATGTGTTAGAGAAGAGATGCATCTAAGGCTACGGTCACACTGCAGGTCTTGATGCTCAATTCCAATTTTTTTGTGAAATCCGATTCTTTTGCGTTGTCGTTCACATTTCAAAATATATGCGAATTTTTGGTGATCTCCTGTGCGATCTGCAGTCATACAACTCAAGTGTCCCGCGCAATAGAGGACGCAATGATGTCACAGGCCAGCGTGCTCTGTGCATACGGAAGTAAACATGGATGGTAGTGCCGGAGCGCATCTTTCCCAACCATAAAAACACAATCTTTTCAAGATGGCTGCAGTGTGAACGTAGCCTAAAAGTTACAGGATGGTAGCAGTTGAGGACTGGACTGAAGCACCCCTAGTCTAAACCAATTGTACAAACATACTGCAGTAGTTCTATAAAAACAAAAACATTCTATATTTGACACCAATTTTTATCTCAGCAGTGTTTCTCATAAGATAACAATGCTTCAGAAATCTAGGTGAAAAATCTGATTCGATCATCTGTTTTGATGTTAAAGTGAAACTTGTAATTTGTTGTTTGTTTCACCGATAAAAAAATCTCATAATTTTGAGTGCTTATAATCTGCCAAATTTAATTCAGATTGTTTAAACTTTTCTCTGCTGTAATACACCTTAACCAGGTCCCTCTTCCAGTTTCCTCCTGTGTTACAGGTTCATGAAGATTCAATAGACTTTATGCTTGAGTTCCCGTCCGGTTCTTCTTTATCAGATTCCTATTTCTACCATTCAAAGCATTTAATGTCCCTAAATGCATCACAGACTTAGTGACATGGCACTAAATATTCCCTTTTAAAATAATGAGATGTATTGTGTTACACCACACTACCTGATACCAAATGACAATCATATAGATCAGAGCCTTTTCTACAGAGCTTCTGTATAATGCTTCTTGTTACTGATTGATTCTGCATTACATCTACGTAAGTTTAAACTTTAAATTTTTGGTCCGGATATTAATGAAATACATTTAGGAAGTCTGTTAAGTATGGAATGGAAATGATAAGTCTTGTTTAAAAAATAACAGCAAGGTTTTTTTTGTTATTATCAGAACCCCTTTAAAAACCCTTTAAAATCAGCCCAAACCACAGTTGCTCCTCTCATGTGCAGTTTAAGCTATTACAATATTTATATAATATTTAAAATATAAACTGCAGAGGTTAAGACCCCTGTTAAAGTGATGTGTATCCTCCTTTGGTTTAAGTGGTGCAAAATGACTCAATGGCAATTAATGCTTCTGCATCACCTTACGACACATTTGCCACTGAAAAAAATCATGCAACCACTTTTGGCATTTACTTAATCATAGTTAGTTAGTTTAACACAATTGTTTTATGTCCTACCATGCTAACATGAAAGAATTATGTTAAAGTAACTAAATATGATTAAGTAAAAAAAAAAAAAAAAGTTGCGTTTTTTTTTCCAGTTGATCAGCTGATGAGTCAGGCTGCTACAGATGTATTAAGGGAAAAAACTCATTTTGGCGAATGCAATGAAATGATGTGGGAAAAACATTAAAAATAACATTTTGGTCCATTTGTTCACTAAATATCAAACTGTTGTTTTTGGTAAAGAAATGGCATTTAGAAGAAGAACGCATTAAGAACGACACAATTATTTCATCAGACATTAAAGGACTTTGAGCCCTTTTGTTTCTTCATGTCTAAACCAACAAAAAAGTTGCTTCTTAAAATGTCATCATAAAGATCAAGAAAGGAAACGATTTAACAGCTTCCTGATCAACAAGAATATATCATCGCCATGAGCTGACTGGTGCAGGTATACGTTGCAGATAGGTGTAATCTGTATGGTGTGTTCAAATGCTGCTTCCTTTTAGATATAAGCTGACATATGGAGACACAGGAGGGAGGTCTGCTACTGACAACAGTTCAAGATGTTCATTTAATCTGGAACCGTTAATATAATTACAGCTGTTGTAATGTTTGCATTAGAGGAAGAGAAATCCGCTGCAGACCCTTTTTTTTTTGCATGTAACATATTTTAAATTGGATTAAAACATATAAATACTAAAAATGACAAAATATGAACAATGGTTTCACTAAATCTGCATGTGACTTTTGAAAAAACACGCTTTTTACTGTATATCAGTAAGTAGAAATTTTAAAACTAACCAAGATACACCCTACAAATATTAAGTGGGATTTTTTGGTCGGCTACAAAACCTGGTTCATCTATCATGCTGTCACATGTGACGGTCCCATCTGCCCAACCTGACCAATCTGTCACTCTTTCTGCTGCCAGAATGACTCCATCATAAACCGAGCTACAGGACGGTGTCTAGAGGTGGTGCCAGCCAACGTTTACTTCGGCCACCTGCTGGTTCTACAGCCCTGCTCTGGCCAGAGGTGGACCATCAAGAACACTATGAAGCAATAACCAATGGAGAGGACCTGTCTTACCCACAGTGGTCAACTGACCTTAGCGTGGCACAAGGTTGCACAATAAAATGGCAAGAAGTCCATGAAAGAAATGTTTTACTAAATGCTCTGGGTGCCATGAAGATTATTGAGACTGGAAATTATTTTTTATAAAACAGAGATTCAAAAGGACAACTGAAGCATGAGGACTGTTTCTGTCTGATTTATTTTGACTTAATGTGTTGTTATAAATCCTCTGTGTAATGCTACTAAACAGTGCTCTGACATTTAAGACTTAAGATTCAATCAGCCAATAGATTTTACCAGCAAAACGTTTTCACTGCAAAAACGATCTAAAAATGATTAAAAATGTCTTAAATTAAGTGTATTTACCCTTAATTTGAGCAGGTAAATAAGATGATTTGCAAATTGAATGAGTTTTTTTTAACTCTTAAAATAAGATAATTAGATACTGTAGTATACACTTGAAATCAGAAAATATCATTGTTTTTTGTTATTTTTAATGTAAATTGTCTTGTTCTATCGGGAAAGTCTCACTTGCCTCCTTAATTCAAGAAAAAATCACTTATTTTAAGAAAAAAATGGCTTCTTGAGAAAATGAAAATTTTTTCCTTCTGTATACTAATTTCCAAGAAGCCTGCATATTTTCTGTATTCCTGTATTGGTTCAAAGTGGTCTTGATGAACAGCTTGCAAATATTTCTGAAGAGCTTTTTTTTTGGACGTCAGTTGCCTTTTTTCTCCTTTCAGTCTTGTGACCAGCAATATAAATAAAACAATAAAGGAGGCTGAAAAAAAGCATTTTCCAAGTGGATAAAACTATATTTTAACAATAATCAAATGATTTTTAAAGAGATATTAGTTGTAAACCTGAGGGATTCATTTCTGTTAAGTGGATAATCAAGCAGGAAACCTTTTTGATTTCCCACCCTGTTTTTTCCAAGTACACAGCGTCAGGTACACGTTATTGGTAGGAAGTGAGTAAAGAAGCAACCAACGTCTAAAGTAAAAAATTTGGCATAATATCAGGAAGGCTGTAGAGCTACTAATCATGATCACTTGAAGAGAATACAACAAAGTCCAACTTCTTTAAGGCAAATGAAGAAATGTAACATGGTTTAAAACTGTTTCGCAGCACTGTATGGCTTATATGAGGGTAATTTAAAAAAAAAAATCTATTGTCAACTTTTAAATCTCTGCAATACTGCATTCCTTGTCTTGTCATGTCCTGTAAGATGTAAAAAAAAGGCCTTGAATTTCTGTAACATGCGCTGTTTAGAGTGTAATCAGGCTTTTCTTAAATGCCATCATCCGTTGTCGTCCCAGATTTTAGTGTAAAATAAAAACAAACAGAGCCCATTTGTGACGAGCATAAAATTTAAATAAACTGAATAACAACCATTAATAAGCAATTTTCTTTTTTAATGGTTAATGTCATAAGTCGAGAGGGCTAATGAGATATGTCATTCCTTCTGGATCCTATAGGTATTTAGCCATTTTCACTGGGAGCAACCTGTAGCAACACACAGAGCATCATTCTCGGTTCTTCATGCATCTTGCAATACAATTTGTGTCCCTTTCCGGGAACGGGAAAGGGAGCAACCAGTATCTGTCGTTGGCATTTTGAAGACGTTAAAAGATGAAATTGATCAAAGACAGAGAAGAGTTTGACTTAATCAATTTTAATCAGTTTAGTGTTATGGGTTTGGATTTTGCTTCTAAGATTGTCTTCCAATAAACAAATGATTTCCTGTTTTTTCATGGCTGTTCTTTTACTGCGTGTTTTAATTCTTATTCACAGTCTTGTATATTTTTAATTGTGGTTAAGAATTTTATGATGAAACTAACAATATTTTTTACATGACAAACATTTCTTTTGTTCAAGTGAAATGCCCTGGGAGGCTGTTCTTTTGAAATGCATTATAAGGATGTCTGATCACAGTTTAAAAAGAAATGAAACAAATCATTCAGGCTTAATCAAGTAAAGGTGTTTAGTGTCTTGGCTTAGATTTTTCGGTATATTTATATGAGTTCTGCATGAGCTCAGACTCAGTTTTAGTCCCTCTATATGTTTAGCTAAAAGATTGAGGGGATTATGCGTATTTGTGAAGGTGACATTACTCTAAGTCTGATTGCTACCTAACTTCAAACTGCCCCGCTGCTGCTGCATGTTAAGCTTAACTTATAGTATGAATAAACCTAAGATTTCAGTATTTTCTTCCGTTCCAATATCTCAGATAATGGTATTTATAACCTAGAAAAGTCTCAGGTCAGTGGCCTGAGTAAAGCTTTGTTCTCACTGTTTGCATAATCTACAGGGGGTAATCTTAATCAGGACATCCCTGATAAAGGCTACTGTGATGCATTTTATGTCTAGCTTCAACAATCTGCATATATTTGTTATATAAATAAACCTTACTGTAAAATTTGTCCTTGTATTAAATTTTTAGATAGAAAACTTCGAAAGCAATCCCCTTTCTTGCTTTAAGCAGGATAAGAACTAAAGCTAATTGCACAAGCACTGCTTAGACATGATGTCACTACATCTGTGTTATAAAGGCACCCCATCTAAATGAGACATGGCAGCATCTGCAGCAGCGCGGTGGTGGAACGCCGGATATAAATACCTATAAATGGAAAGTTGCAGATACAACTCTAATGTGGTCATGCTTTCTTTCACACCACACACGTTGTTTATTAGTATTAGGCTGCAATAAATGAAGCATCTTTAAATGTTGGGGATGTAAACAAAACAAGGACAGTGTCCAGAGAGCACAAGACCCTGTTCTAAGCAGAGAACTGCAGTGAGTGCTATAGGATTCAAGGACAGCGTGTGCATGCTAACAAGTCCCTGAATGCTGACCAGACTTTCAACGACTGAAGACTCATCAACCAACTGAATGAAAAAGGATCTTATGTTTGCTAGAAACCTCCTGAAAAGCTGCTGATATGTTCACATATTAGGGACTTTCTGATCAATTCAAGATGTTTTAGGCTCCAAAAGGTAAGTAAGCAGAAAACATCTATCTAGTTACAATTATTTAAAAATTGACTTCCACACTTATTGACACTTCATGTGCAAAGAGCTCTAAAATAAATAAATATTCTTCTGCAGCGGTTAAGTTTACAGATTATTTCAATAATATAGCTTTTAAATATCTATATATTTTACTCCAGCTGAATCTATATATTCAGCTGGAGTAAAATATGCAAAATAGAGGCTTTTAGCAAAGTAACCAGTCCATTCCCAAACAATTATTATTATTTTTTTATCGTACAAGGTCATATTTCTATTTAATGCTCTAAATTGATCTGAGTTCTGGGAAGTCTAGATGATTTTTTTTTGGTTTCCCTCCCACTGACTATTTGTGGTGGGCAGGTAAGAACGGCAGGAGTCATATTTTGAACGTCTGAATAAATGGTGACAGGAAGTCTTCATATCGACCAATGGATGGTTTTGATGTTTCATCTGATTGTTTTAGAAAGTTGTCTAGAAATGTCCTCTGTCCTACTTTAACAAAACTAAACAGAAAGAGTTTAATAACCGTCGCTGAGATTTTAACGGCAACAAACTTTCAACCCACAGAACACAACCTGCTCCCTTTGCTCCACTTATTCAAACCTCCATATTCCCAGAACCAGACTCAGGACAATGGGAGATTTTGTCCTGCTGCCCCACATCTGTGGGATGCCCTCCCTGACACCTTGATGACATCTCAGTCCACTGAGTGTTTTTCAAAAAAAAGGCCTTAAAACATTTCTTTTTAGCAAAGATTTTGGTCGCCTTTAGATGCTTTTCTCTCTTCTAAAAATAGCCTTTTCATGCTTTTCTCTTTTTTACCTGTAGTACTCTGAGATCTTTTAATGGAAAGTGCAGTATAAATGAAATGTATTATTATTATTATTATTAGTTGGGATTGATATAAACGAAAGGAGACACATGAAAAAGCACAGTCATGCCCACATTGCAGCATGGTTGTGGATCTGTAATACTGTGGGCCTGTTTCCAAATGTTCTGGGAACCAGAACTGAAATGTAATGCTAATGCTTAATTCAAAGCTGAAATAACTTTTTTTATCTGTAGATGACCAGTATGGTCGTTTAGGACTGCAGATGTGTGTCACTAAGGTTGACTACATGCTGCAAATGCTAAACAAAGAGTCGATAATGAAAGCAATGATCAGATGAAGAAAAAGAAGTATCATCATATTGCTTTATTTGGAAATACTGTGTGTGTAAGGATCCTGGAGTCTGGCTCTCTCTTGTGGCCCCTTTCCAATATTTTCCTACAGGTGCTTTCTGGAGCAGGCTGGTGGAAGAGCGCAGCTGTTTCTCATCTATGCTCATTAACAGAGAGGCTTATAAGGAGCTCACTGCGAGCCCTTCAACTCTAGAGTGTTAACCCTTGTGGTGTGGCTCAGCCACCCTCTAGTGTCCTACGTTTCGCCGAAACGTGACTAATTATTCCTCTGTCCTGATTTCCCAGGTGGATTCTAAGATAGTCTAAGATAGTTCTCCTTTTCTCCAAGCCTATGATCTTCCATCGAGGTACCTGCACAGATTGAAGCCTGCTCATCCTCCTTCACCTCACCTGCTCAGCTACAGAAAACCTGAATTTCTCCTGGAGAAAAGACATTCTGCCACCAGCTTTCAGGAACCTGTTTCTTCTCCAAGGATCCTGCTCATCTCCTCGAAGTAAACATTCTCCTTTCCACCAGTAAGGGATCAAATCTATTACCTTTTCTCTCATCTACAAGATAAATAACCTTTGCTGTTTACCAGAGATCTGGCCCTAGATGGTTCCTTTCCAGAATAGTCTCTCTGATTAAAAAAAATAAACTTCTAGAACCGTCTCCTAAAGTGTTTTCTATATGGATCAGATCTCTGCCTAAAATCATGACGGTGTGGGAAGATTCTTTATTTTTTTTCCCCATTCGGGTGATACCTCTGTGAGGACACAAAACTGAATTAATTTCTGATAAAAAAATAAAAATAAAAAAAAAACAACTAACAGAATTTATCCTTCTCCATCCTTTTCTCTTTCTTTTCATATCTCAAAACACAATAAACAACTTGACTGTAATTTTACCCCCTATGGGGTGAAATTGTGCAGAAGTATTTTCAGGTGCAATTGCATCATAATGTATCATGGACTAGAAAAAAACTAGGATATAAAATAAAAGTGAAAAATAAACACTTTATACAGAATAGCCTTACACTGAGAATGTGAGACGGAAGCACTTATGATTTTATTGCAACCAAGGGAACACTTGAAGGCTGTTTAGTCTGCCTTAAAAAGCAGATTTAGATTCGAGGTTTTCACTTCCATTAAGAGCAGAAAGAGCTTGATAACTCAGCAACATGATGATCACCTAAAATATACAGCATGAGATGGAAAAACAAAAGAAACATTACTGTAGCATAAAGACGAACAGGAGTTTGTGAGCAGATGGCTCACTGTTATGATCGAAGCATTGCTAAAACGATCTGTTATTACTTGATGAGATAACTAAGTGTTATTCAGGTTATGAAAATAAATCATAGCACTAATTAAAGTCCTACTTAATATTTTATTAACATATTTTTTGGTCTGATTTTTTCATATTGTCATCTAAAGAAGATATCACCCATTTATAAGACTGATTTTAGCAAACTAGTTGCTCTATATGACAATGGTATGTTTTATCTTTGTAATACATCAGCTACTGTAGCTTAGGCTCTAGTACAGTGGCACCATCTTGAGGTTATATTTGTTACACTTGACACTTTTTCCTGAGAACAAACTGAAGGCTTTCATCTGCTGTAGGGGAATCTGTAAGACAGGATGTCTAAAGAGTAATAGGAGGGAAAGAGTTAAATAGGTAGCTGACAGTGGAAATAAAACACACCTTATTTTCTAGATATGTTGCTCCGAAAAATAAACATTTTCCCTTTAAAGAAATCTTAATTCTTGTTCCTACACCAACTGGGAGTTTTTCTTTGCATGTTTGGCTGCTCTCCACCCAGTACCAAAAAAAGGCAGCCTGTTTTTTGATGGGGACACAATAATACAGCTATTCTATAAATAAAAATGTTAAGATGATGAGCAAACATCTAAAAGTCATGCTACGTAATAAAAAGGTAAATCATTTGAGATTGCATTCTTTGGAAATCACATTGTATGTGATACAAAATCCCATTTTATGTCTATCAAACTGTCTCATTGTTATTATTTACCAGTTCAGCAACAAGAAAAAGAAATGCATGCAGATGGCTGCTATGCTAAATATTTAAAGATCCAGCTGGGTTCTGGTGCCATAGTTGTATGTTATTCATCACATTGGTTTGTACCTTGAGTTTTAAAAAATATCTAAGCATTTGATTATTTGTTCGTGTGTTTTACATGATTTGAACCAACTGCAACAGAAATAAAAGGAAACAAAACAAAAACAGCCAAAGTCCAAAAAAACTTTAGAGAGCACTTTAAAAACGTCCTTTTGCTTAAAAGGTAAAAAATAAGAAACAAGGGAAAGAGGAGACGCCATAAAAAAAGATAACTGTTTAAAAATCTAAAGGAAATGCACAGATCGAGTCAGATCGAGCAGATAGAACCTTTTGCCCCTGAAGACTTTTTTTTTTACTCTCAATGAGAATACAATTATAGTTTCCAAAAAATAACTTCTCCTACTGTTATGTTATGTGCTGTCAGACCAGAGGAATGATTCACTCAGATTGAGTCCCAGTTGAACTGACAGCATTTTGTCCAAACGCACAGCTAAAACTGCAGCAACAAGTCCAAGTCGTGGTATAGTGATTTGTTTTTACCCTTGCTTTATCAATAACAAAGGAAACACGCGCTTCCTGTAGGCTATTAGATAGTCTAAGATAAAACACAGCACCAAACCCAGTTAACAGTAAAGCAGACACTTACAAGAAAATCTTGAAATTAAAAAATATAAAGTTATGGGTTTAGTTAATGGGAATTGCAAAAAACAAAATCCCCATGTGTTTTTTCTAGTGACTGATAAATCAGAATTAACAAATTCGTAACTTCAGTGAAAATATGCGTAAGTGACATCTTCAGAATTTGTATGTTTTCCCTACTATAATATTTTAACTGTTGTGATGCATTGTTTTATTTAACCAAATAACTCTAACTAGATCCTTTATTAATCCATTGTTTGCTGCCATTTGTCACATCTGCCTCATCTGTAAAAATCTGGTGGCATTTTATGCACCAATTTGTTACAGTTTGGACTGTAATTTGCTTAAAATAATAACACAGGAAAACACTCAAAGATATGTTTCTTTAATTTAATTTCTATCTTATTTTATAATTTTTTTCTGCAGAATTTCAATATATTCAGTTGCTTTTTTCAGATCTTGCACTTTGGCTTGGCCTTTAAATGAATTAAAGTGCAAGATCTGAGTTTCCCACACTAAACATATTTTTTTCAATGTATTTTTTTAGACTGAATGAACGATTATTTTGATTTTGACATTTATTCTCAATTTGAATGCCTGATGTGATGCATAAATGAAAACAATAAAACACATTAAAAAAAAGATTTTTATTGCAACAATTATATGTTTAGAGTTTATACACATTTCTGTATTTACAAGATTATAATTCCTTATGCCTCTAATAAATAGCACGACTGAAAGTCATTCTCTATTCTATGTTGAAATAATGCACATGCAGTAGATACAGTATGTGCTTGTCTAATAGATAATCTGTTAGTTAAATACATACAAAATGAGATAAGAGAATCAAGAGTTGGGAACTATCTATCATGCTACTGGAGACTCCAACAGTAACTCTGCATCACTGATGGAGACATGCAATCATTCTGCAGAGTCAGAGTCTCTGATTACATCATAAGTCATCATATACCAAATGTCATAAAATCAATTATTCTCCATAAATAAAATGTTTGTAAAACACATTTGATGCTTTTTGAGACTACACTGGTGCTCACTTAGTCCCAAAGGTGGATAAATTAAACCTTTTACAGGTTCAAAATGTGTTTTATTTGATCTGCCATAGGCAAGAAATCTATTCCAGTAAGTATCAGGTGTAAATTTGTATCTGCATACAAGAGCCTCTCTACCTGCACTGTTGGTAGAGATGTGATCAACCTGTACATGATACATGAGATTTAAACATTTAGTAATGTGTTGAAAAAGTAAAATAAATAAATGGTGATGAGACAACAGTGTTTCAAAATGTAAATTCCACCTGTAGATGGCACTATAAAACAAACTATCACCCCCTTTTTCCCTTCCCATTGGAGTGGATCACAGATACAGTGCAAAAACAATAACAAACTGAATAAAATATAGTTATTTCTAACACAAAAATGCTAGATTATTCTTGTGTTCCTGTATGAAGACAGGGACAACGACTACATTTAGTTGTCTGGTTCATCTCTGCAGAGTTTTATGGCTTTAGAAGGAAGGTTAAGAGGAAACAGGAGACTTCTACCATCTAAGACTTTCACGTTTGTGACCAAATAAACATCTCCTGCCTGCTGAACGTCCTTACTGGACTCTGACCCCATGGTGAGAGCAGAGAGCACTGACAGTCATGCACACTTACAGAAACATTTAAACACATATGTGAGACACTTCAGACGAGGGTTGCAATATTTACATTAAACACAGACTTGACCACATGCAGTTACTGAGGGGTATCTGGCCAAATGACAGGCAGTAGAAGAGCTTAGAGCCACTTCACTGAGCACTAAATCATTGAGTGCTGCAGCAAGTTCCTACACCCCATGAGCTGCAAGAACAGACAAAAAAAAAAATAACTCTGTGATGCCTGTGCAAACATAAAATGGGTTTATAATCAATACTTAAAACAGGTGTACACCTGTTGCCTCAGCTGGATTTGAACCCAATGTGATAGATTATTATAACTGTGACCACCTTTAATGAAGCAGAGGTTTTGACAGTTTGCTTCACTGGAGAAAAAAGAATGATTCAAAATAAATAAATAACTGCATGACATGGGGTGATGGTGGCTCAGAAGGTAGGGCTGACAGCTTTTAAGTACAGGAGGAGAAATGAGTCAACATGGATGAAGCATTCATTCCTTTAAGTAAATCTAGTTTTGGCAAACTGAAAGTTAAACTGTTCCTTGTTGCCACAATGTGTCAAAAATTCAAAACATTATGTAACTAAACGAGGTGAAAGTTGTTGCCTACAGATCAACTCTATGGTGGTTGGTAGCTGAGGAAAAGTTCATATATTAGATAAAAAAAACATTTCATAATATTCCCTGGTATGAACTGGTCACCACAAACAGATGGATTATGAAAGCAATAGAAAGCATTAGGAGGATGGATTTTTTTCCCTTTTAACGGCAGAGAAAAATGTGGGTTCTGCACAGTGTTCATCAGATCAGCATCCACAAGGAGGGAATGATCCTTTCTCATTCAGAAATATCACACGAGCTCGGAGTTCTTGGCTGTATGATTTCCTAACGTCAGCCCACAGACTCAGCAGTTAATCAGTGTGTTGAAGTATCGCAGCCCAGCGGGAGCTCCAGGAGCCATATTCATGAGCTTCAATGTTGTCCAGCTCTGCCATCATCCCGCCATCGCCTGTAATAAGAGACCAGTTGTTTCTTGCCTCTTGTTGACTCCTGCAGCCTTTGTAGTTCATCAGCCTCCTGGTGGGTGCCAGACTCTTGTTAAGTATCACTTGCTGGAAAAGCAAGCAGCTCTTAACTCCTTTTTATTTTTTCATATTTTGTTTAGATTATTGCATCAGGGAAACAGAGACAGTGTTTGATGTAATGTCAGCCCTTTAAAGTCGGAGTAAAGGGGGAGGAGTCCTGCATGTCTCCTCATGCTGGCTTTGTGGGGTTTTTTGGGACACCAGCTGGAGGTGGCGCCATTATTAAAATGAAAAACAAACTAAACATGGTTTTAAAAACTAATTTCCTTTGTGATCATTTGGATCGCTGTGCCTTAGAGTTCTGTTTCTATCTACAGGGATATGGCTCCATCCACTGGCATGCACATGCAGGCTGGTTAGTAGCCAGCTTACAGGGGCCACAGCTACTCCATGCCGTTCCTCAGCATCTGATTGGCTGCAATGAGCATGACGCTGATGATGAAGGCCATGGCAAAAGCACAGATGAGACTCTTCCTCACGCACGTCTGACGGTTCTTCTTCGAGGGGTGAACTGGAAGGGGAAGAAGACAAATAGAACCACAATGAATAAGAATCAAATCAGTTAGTCAATCAACTATATCCATGATGAAAAAATATGGCAAAAGGTCTTTAAATCAGCTAAAAAATTAAGGTGATAAAAAAATGTTAAAAAACATTAAAAATTAGAAGAACAAAAAAGAAAATAAAAAGACTAAGGACGATAAGAAAACAAGTAGGCAGGCAAAAAAACGTATCTTGAATAACAATAAGATAAAATCTAAGAAACTGTATACATAAAAAAAGGCTAAAATCGAAATTGTATTTACACAACTGTTAGAAAAGATTAATAACCATTGAAATAAAACAAACAAACAGATTATTTCAATTAAAAGGAGAAATCATAAAGGTTTAAATTAATTTAAAAAAACTGAAAAGATGATACATTTATTACACTCTTTTTTTGAAACATAATCTGAATAAGATTTCTCTTATGCAGGACTCAAAATTGAACAAATTTAATCTAAAATAAAGCAGAGAAAATGAACAGTGTTTACAGATCTGGGCGTCAAAAAGAATGAAGAATGATCCAAGAAAAAGTTTTCTGATCTGATTGTGTGTCAGTAGTTTAAATACCTGCTGCTCTTAAAGCCATGATTAAAGACATGTTCCACTTTATCAGCCTGGCCCACTTTACTATTTAGTATTTATATGCTATTATATTTATTTAGGTGGCACTTTATCTCCCCATTTTATTCCCCTAAATTGGTGACAGCAATAAAGATGATTACTTTAACCTGGATCAAAGGGATGTCTGCTTCAACTAATTGAACTCTTGAAGAAAGGTTAAAAAAACAATAGAATGTATACTTTATGGCAGCTTATGAGTAGGAAAAACAGTCTACAGCTGTTGGAGAAGTATGAACATCTATTATATTTAATTACCTAGGTATTTTTAGAGTTTAACAGACATTTTACTGATGATAAATGTTGATAACATAGAGGAACTAAATATTTCAATGCATAAGTCTAGCAAAATGAATGGTCCCAACATTTTTTAATGTTCTGTAAATGAACTGCATGATTTTGATGTGGATTTGATACCATGGACTGTTGGCTCCAATGATTACTAATGAGCTCAATGCTTCAATAAGCAAACAAGGCCACTGACCGCTGCCACCTTAAAGCCCCTCTGCTTAAGGCTTGTTCTCCCCTATTATAATGGGTTTTTACATGGTAACTCCAAAATATTCTCAGTACCAAAAGCATGGACATGTTCAATAATAACAAAAAACAAAACAGCATATTGCATCCAACGAATCTTAATTTCTACTATCGAGACAGTTCTTATCAGTCATATGTGGCCATTTTTTTAAAACCCAGTTCACTTCAAATATAGAAGTAACATAGGTACTGGTGTTGACTCTGTAGAATATAGTTACAAAGCATTCAATGAGCCTGAAAGGTTTTGGAAAAATGAACCTTTACCTCAATAAAAACTCATATTTTCTCCTATTAATCTTAATGAGATCTCAAGCTAGGTTCTTTGGATCAGGGATATTCTATGATTTTATAATACAGAGGGTCTGTAGTGGTGGGAACATTTCTAATCCATGCAGTCAGCACTGGATCCCCCCAAGGCTGTGTTCTCTCGCCTCTGTTATTCTGTCTTTTTACAAACAGACTTATGATTAATGACCAAAGCTGCATTCTAAATAATGTAGCTCTGGTTGGACTACTAAAGAAGCATTATCCTGCACGTGAAGTTTTTTAATTTATTTTATACAAAAGCCCCAGAGACATAGTGCTGTTAGATATTAATGTAGCAAAGACAAAATAACTTCATTTGCTTTAAACAATACTTTATAGTGGAGCCAGTTTCATTCGATTGGCAATCTTCTGAAACTGTGGCAAATTTTAAATACCCAGGGATATTAGTGGACAGTCAATTTTGCTTTGCTGAAAATACTTACTGTTTTAGAAAGAAATGCTACCAGAGTTTGCCTTTTAATGATTTAGCAAAGAGTTTTTGTTCTGTAGGGGTTTGGAGATTGATGTTCCTATCATTATTTGTCGGTCAAATTACCTGAACCTTCTGTTGGCCTGAAATATCCCAGAAGCAGCCAAACTGAATGACAAAGTTTCAACAAAACCTACAGAAGACTACTGTGGTCTTTAAGGTGGGCTACCTTATCCTGAGTGGTGATTTATGGTTAACAGCATGTCATTTAGTAAAAACAGGATATAATATCTATAATTCCTGAAATATATTTGCTTGTATTAAAGCAATTGAACTGATTGGAGATGGCAGGTATTAACTGGACATCTGCTGCCCAGTGTGTTGGTATTCCTGTATAATATCAGTACACTTAGTTCAGTTAGGTATAAATAAGTATCTGATGTGATTTTGTTGATCTGAACAGAAAGTTTTTATGCTGGTGTTTTCCATTGTCACATCATATTGATTGTTGAACAAGAAAAAAGCCGCAGGGAAATCAAAGATCCTTTTATTCTTCTTCATATATCAAACAGGTGATGTAATAAGTACTGAAGCAGCATGATGAATTGGATTAAATAAAACTGCAGTGGGACAGAAAGTATTGATTTCTCCATGACTGAGCACAGTTTGGTGTCTTTGCATGACAGGTGGTATTCATGGACCTCAGAACCAATGGATTGCTCAGTGCAACACCTGCAGTAGTTATCCATCATCATTAACACATGAAACATGATGTCTTCATCATTCTGTAGCTGTGTTAGGGATTTGTAAAAGAGGCGGGGTAAATTGTGCCCCTCTTAATAAATCCCAGTGTTGGCTTGGTAAAGCATGTCAGGAAAGGACAAATTCTTTATATGAGAAGTTAAAACACATATAATTATTTTGTAATTATTCTAGATTATAATAGAAAGGAAAATGTTTTTACACTGAGGTACTTCCATACAGTTGACACCTATGACTACAGCTTGTTTGTTTATTTACTGTTGTAAAGTATCCTTCTAATCTTTTATGGCTGTTAAGAGATGTGTAAACATGTGGAGGTATGATTCAGCAGTTTTTAAGATTAAATGTTATGATGATGTAGGGACAAAATAAATGTGAGAAAAAATAGATTTTTATCATCTGCTTTCAGAGTTTTCAATAAATTCTTTATTTTAAATGCACATAACTTGAACACATTTGAATACTTTTAAAATGGTGTAAGATATAAGAAAGTTTCAAAAATGTATTAAATATTTTTTTTATTTAAAACTTTTATTTAAAACATCTTGGTTTGCTATTCCATAAAAACCACAAATCATATATGTAAAATGACAAGATTTTTTTAAACTGAAAGATTCGGTTATAAGACAGTTACAACGGATCAAAATAAACTGTTAGCTGTAGGTTTAATTGCATAAATATTGTTTGGATTGTAGTACAATGTAGAATAACCTTTTAAGTTTACTACACAAATATTATGAATCAGGTAAGAATGATTCATAATTAAATTTGAAAGGAATACTTTCTTTTCTTTTCATTCAGCACCATGGACAGCTCAGGTTTTAGACAGGATAGCTGTACAATACAGGTCCTTATCTAAATATTAGCATAAAGTTCATTATTTTCCATAATGTAATGATAAAACTTGAACATTCATATATTTCAAATTCATTGCACACCAACTGAAATATTTCAGGTCTTGTATTGTCTTAATAATAATGGGTTTGGCATACAGCTCCTGAAAACCCAAAATTCCTATCTCACAAAATTAGCATATCATGATAAATGTCTCTAAACGAGCTATGCACCGAATCATCTGAATCAACAAATTAACTCTAAACACCTGCAAAAGATTCCTGAGGCCTTTAAAACTCCCAACCTGGTTCATCACTCAAAACCCCAATCATGGGTAAGACTGCCGACCTGCATCAAGGCACCTCAGTGGGAAGGAAAAAGTGGCAGAAAACGCTGCACACTGAGAAGAGGTTACCAGACCCTGAGGAAGATTGTGGAGTAGGGACAATTCCAGACCTTGGGGGACCTGCAGAAGCAGTGGACTGAGTCTGGAGTAGAAACATCCAGAGCCACCGTGCACAGGCGTGTGCAGGAAATGGGCTACAGGTCAAGCCACTTTTAAACCAGAAACAGCGGCAGAGGCGCCTGACCTGGGCTACAGAGAAGCAGCACTGGACTGTTGCTCGGTTTTGCATATCATTAGGAAATCAAGGTGCCAGAGTCTGGAGGAAGACTGTAGAGAAGGAAATGCCAAAATGCCAGAAGTCCAGTGTCAAGTACCCACAGTCAGTGATGGTCTAGGGGGGGCCATGTCAGCTGCTGGTGTTGGTCCACTGTGTTTTATCAAGGGCAGGGTTAATGCAGCTAGCTATCAGGAGATTTTGGAGCACGTCATGCTTCCATCTGCTGAAAAGCTTTATGGAGATGAAGATTTCATTTTTCAGCACGACCTGGCACCTGCTCACAGTGCCAAAACCACTGCTAAATGGTTTACTGACCATGGTATCACTTTGCTCCATTGGCCTGCCAACTCTCCTGAACCCCATAGAGAATCTGTGGGATATTGTGAAGAGAAAGTTGAGAGACGCAAGACCCAACACTGTGGATGAGCTAAATGCTGCTATCGTAGCATCCTGGGCCTCTATAACACCTCAGCAGTGTCACAGGCTGATTTCCTCCATGCCACGCCGCATTGAAGCAGTCATTTCTGCAAAAGGATTCCCAACCAAGTATTGAGTTCATAACTGTACATAATTATTTGAAAGTTGACTTTTTTTGTATTAAGAACACTTTTCTTTTATTGGTCGGAATTTGGGGTTTCCATGAGCTGTATGCCAAAATCATCCATATTAAGATAATAAAATACCTGAAATATTTCAGTTAGTGTGCAATGAATATAAAATATATGAATGTTAAAGTTGTATCATTACATTATGGAAAATATTGAACTTTATTACAATATGCTAATGTTTTGAAAAGGACCTGTACATGCTCCTCAATAGTGATGCTTTAACTATGCAAAATATATCAGTCTCAAATCGATGTTAAAGGATGAGCAGATATAGTCCTGGTCCTGTAAATGAAGAATGAACACCAGCTGCTTAGAAGAACAACACTGGTTCATAAAAGATNGCAAAAGGATTCCCAACCAAGTATTGAGTTCATAACTCTACATAATTATTTGAAGGTTGACTTTTTTTGTATTAAGAACACTTTTCTTTTATTGGTCGGAATTTGGGGTTTCCATGAGCTGTATGCCAAAATCATCCATATTAAGATAATAAAATACCTGAAATATTTCAGTTAGTGTGCAATGAATATAAAATATATGAATGTTAAAGTTGTATCATTACATTATGGAAAATATTGAACTTTATTACAATATGCTAATGTTTTGAAAAGGACCTGTACATGCTCCTCAATGGTGATGCTTCAACTATGCAAAATATATCAGTCTCAAATCGATGTTAAAGGATGAGCAGATATAGTCCTGGTCCTGTAAATGAAGAATGAACACCAGCTGCTTAGAAGAACAACACTGGTTCATAAAAGATGTGGAAGGATCCTCCAGGTGGTGCATTCAACCATGGCTGACACGGCCTGGATGATCAGGGTCACTAAAATAGTAAGACTCGGAAGTTAAAAGGGGAAAAGGAGACTGCCTTTGACTATGTGAGAATGACTCTCCTTCGCAAATTCCTTACTAAGATAGGCATAAATACGGAAGCAGCTGAAAACTAATTATAGAGCTGTTAAAAGTTGAGATTCAAGCAATCTTTTCAAAAAAAAAGTTTCTTCCAATAGCCGTCAAAATGCTTAAGAATTGCAAGAACTCAAAAAATAAATGAAGAATTGATTGAATTCAGGAACTTATTATGATTCAACAACAGTATTATTTGTGGTCTGTGTTGAATAGAGACTTTGGTAGTTAAAAGGCTTGGATCAAAAAAACGTATTAATTTGCCATTGAATTTGGATTATTTTGAATTAATTAAATTAAATTAAAAAAAATACTTCATAAGTCCCAAAGGTAACCCAAATGATGAATAGCAATGGCCTTGATTTAGTTCCATAAACAAACACGCTGGTACATCCTTTAAGATTTGATGAAGACACATAATTCACTTACACCACACTACAACTGTCAAAGCATCCATCTTTATTCAATAAATAATTTTTTGGGTTTGTTTCCTAAGCTGAAATGTCTCAAGAGGCTGATTTAATAAATTTCAATAATGTGCTGGATTAAAAAAAAGCTTAATTTGAATTTGCTTAAACAAAACAATGACAATGGCTATTTTAATGGAGAGAGGGAGAAAGTCCTAGAGTACCCTCTGCTGCTCTCTATCCATAAATCTTGGATGGCTGTTGGTGAAGAGAGGAGTCATGCATATTTCATGTGTGCCGTGGCTGAACAGCTGACCAGCTGACACTCGTCCTCACAAACGCCCCAAATCAATAAATCAGCAGGTGTGCTGGGACTATGTTGGCTCTAGATGGTGATGAGAAAGCTTAAATTCTTTCTGACAGCATGGCTTTCTTTCTCCCTCTCTCTACCCACACAGAACCGAGAGCCTTCCTGTGACACATTCATGCTCCTAAGTGCTTGCGTGTGAAATTAGCCCAGGGACTTTCACTCACCTCCCTCAAACTCTGTCTGACAGTTCCCAGAGTTTTCCTTCAGGCTTTCTTCTTCGTTGATGATGATGTTCTCAATGTCCTTCATGGTCAGGTGATCACGAAAAGCGTAGAAAAGGATGTGTTTCAGCTCCTCCAGGGTGATCCTCTGCATGTCAAACTGCAGGAGGAGAGAGATGTGTATTAAAATTAACATAAGAGAGACGAGCCTTCTTACATATTTAATAAAAAACTGTGTATTTTTATCGGATGGCTGGCAAGATGATAAATCGCACAAGTTGCAGTGAGGCATTGCAGTTCCTTCCACCAGTCATTTAACAGAAAATATGCTTCACTTTGTCACATTATCACTGAAACATACTGAGCAAAAAACTCCAGTCTTTTGTTCATGACACTTTTTGTGGAGCAACAGAGGCAAAGAAAAAAATTCTGATACATTAATCATCCCACATGTTTGGTAACGTGGAAAAAACGTTGCTAAACTGACTGGGGAAAATGATTGCTTTAAGGTTACACAACATTCAGGAAAGTGCAGACAAGCACTGCCACTGGTCAAACCAAAACAGATTAGATGCTCTCTCATTGCTACAATCAGCAGGGAAAGTACCAACAAGTGCTGAAATATATGATAAGAGAACATTTTCTTTTTATTTTGTGGCAAAATGCTTAAACCACTGAAATAGCAAAAACTATAAAAGTTTAAAAGATTGATTTGTCAGTATTTGTGTCAGCAACCTAATCTTATTTTAATCTTCTGTTCAGGTCTTATGGGAGTCACCCCCACAAATGCATGATCATTCCTCATATACTTCTATTTCTGCTCTGAGCTTATCAACACTTCTCTCTTTCGCTAATCTGTAGGGACAATGGGGACAGTGGAAGGCCTTTGGTTGAGATAAAAATATATACCGGTATACGTATGTTTTTGCACCTAATAATCGAGATGGTAAACATTATATCCCTCAAATGAGTAGCAATAAAATGAGAAAGGAGGTCACTCATTGACTCATTGATTGGCTGGACTAGAGTCAAGGACGGGTTCATGATGGCATGAAAGAACATTAACCTTAAAGAAAAAGAAAAACTGAAAATGGATCAGTATTAGGTTAATCGGCCAGACGGTGATCCCATAATTTAAGAAACTTGATATATTGGACACTTTAGGAAATTTTCAGTTTAACATTGCCTCAAATACATTGAAAAACATTAATGAAGAGGTACCAGCCATTTTTAAAAGAGGGGTCAGTAAGCATCTGGAACCTCGAACATAACTTACATGGAACAGACAAGACACCAGGATACATTACAGTACAAAAACAGTGAGAGGGGAATATTACACACATTCATTATTCAATGCATCATCATCAGTTCAATCCAGGTGGTCATAATTTTATGACTAATTAGTCAAAAAAGTATTAACTCAAAGATGGATGATAAAATCAAAGATAATAAATCATAGATGTTGCAGTAAAGAATTGCAAACCTAAAGTCTTTAGTTGCCCTCAGCACCTTCAGATGAAAGTGGGTCCCTATCCATAAGCACTGAGTTTCTTGGGATTCCCTTTTACAAATTGGACCCCAATATATATAAAAAATAATAATAATGATGATGATTTAAACTGTCAAGTTTTGTAAATAAGTATAATATGAAAGGATAGCATCTCCTGGCCAAGATATATATTGAACATTCACAACTAATGAATGTTAAATTTTTACACACTTTGACTAGATTCATTCTGCAGGTTAGATAAAAGTTTATTGTTTGACATGTTCAGCTGAGATGAAAGAAAATTCAGATGTTAAAAAAATATTGTAAAGCACAAAATGACACAACCATAAATTAAGAAACATTTAAAGGCACCGAACCTCTAAAGGAATAAACTGTATTTATTTGTCATGTTTAAGAATAAATTAAAACATTTGTGCTGAAACCATGCTTGTTCCAGTAACTACAGGCAGATGAAAGGAAGTTTCCAGGATTTTCAACATTGAGAAACTTAAACAACTCTTGTTTCCTCCTGGGGATTTGAGAAGGGGAGCAAGCATCCATGGTCAAGACATTTTCAATCTAAAGTTATAAATTGCTCATCAGATAGTTTAATCAGCAGTTACTTGGCAGTTTGGAAGCTTAGAGATGTGTGATAGCATGTACGTGCAAAACCAGCATTAAGGCTACCTTGTGTAATAATTTGAGGGATTTACTGACAAAGTTGGTATAAATGATTTGTTATGTTTTTGTTTCTTGTAATTCCTGCTTTTATCTTGCATTTGTCTTTATTTGCTTTTATTCTGCCTTTATTTTTCCTCTATTTTATAATTCAAATCATGTAAAGTACTTTGTATTGTCCTTGTACGGAATTGTGCTATACAAAGCAACTTGCCTTGCCTTGACTATGCCACACCTCCTGGGAACAGGGTGTCACATTTTTGACTCGAAAATGGCCCTCTCTGGTCCAATTTGCCTCACTGACTTAAAACTATGTCAACAGACAGATAAGTTGCTCTAATTTGGTCTCAGACATGGACTGTGGTCAAGATAAATGTGGCAATAACTTTTGACTCAATGTTTGGCTCAAACTTCAACATAAATCATCAGATCTGCACCCAGAATGAATATGATTAATATAATTGATTGAGTCCAACTAGCATAGGAATCCAGGCCAACATTCGGTGGTCATGGCAGAACCATTTCATAAATCCCTCTGAATCATTACACCAATCAGACCCAAGCCAAGGTTTGACTGATGATTATGAAATCCCACGCCCTTATGTAACTTTTTAGGACCTACAAACAGCTCTTGTGGCTATAGTTCTACCAACACAGGAAGTAGACAATTTGGATCAAAATGCTGTTTTTATTTTTGACCTGTGAGATATCAGAGCAGCTCCATATGGAGCTTTTGAGTTGCAGACCTGAAAATGACTCAGTGAACACTTAACCCCTTTAATGCATTGCTGCATTAAAGTATATTGGCACCATTTGCATACTGTCTGCTCTTAATCTGACATGAAAGATTGTATTTGTTTCAAACAGGATATGAATGGTCCTTTGCAAGCTAAGATGAGATCCTACGGGTTACATTGGACCATGATTTAACAGTGCGCCATTGAACATTTAAAGATCCATACTTCCTGATGGATCATCAGAAGTCCTGTGTGCATTTTTGATGACAGCTGTTCCACACATCGATATGATAAATTAATAAATGCCCTCTGGCCCCATGCACTTATAACAGGATGTCAGCACAATTACTTGCAGGCGAGATGGATTTAGTCAAAACTTTGAAGGTGTCTCACCTAAAAAGAACTGATGGAAGTTAAGGACTAGAACAGAGGTCCCGGATTAGCGGACAAATTGGCCAGTTTTGTAATAGAGGGGTGATATTATGTGTTTATTGTAAAATGACAGTGAGTCAAACCATCATCGAACCATCGAACTATCATCTCCTGTATATACCAAAATATTCTAGGATCAAATGTGTGGCCATTTGTCCAACTGCTGACATTCGACCGAAACTGGGTCGCCAACAGGGCAAAGACACTGAACACATTGGTAAAAGTGAAAGAAAACAAATAAACTCAAGCCAAGCAGAATATACTGAAAAAAATTCCCTCACAATGTGAGAAGACCAGTTAATTATTTTGTGAAAAGGAGTGTGCAGCATGGTTAAAAAAAAATCACCCTTCTAATTTAATCATTAAATACTGAATATGAAAATATATTGGTGGGAAAAGTTAATCTAAGCATGACAAAAAGCAGATGCTCTGCTGATAATCAAGCTTAAAAGAAACAAACTATATTACATCTTACATATTCTATCTGACCTCTCCTTTTTTAAAGTATATATGAAACAGTGCCAATTAGTTTTTTAGGATAAGATCTTCAACAGACAACTATCACCTTCCATCAAAAAAGAGAGACTGAGATGAAATCCAACCCTAAAATTATTCATCTAGCAGAAGCAATCCAGCAGCATCTGCCACTTAGCATTGCAGCCAACGCCCTGAGGGAGACAGGTCGCCGGCCTAATTGTGTTTACCAAACCTTTACACAACCTTGCTACTGCCTCATGACGACAACATAGTCAGGCATCAAGAGTCTGCCAAAGATCTTCATTTGCCAGAAGAGAAAAAGAGAAACAAGCCAGAGCAGGAGTTTATTTTTTTTCCAGGTAGTATTTCATTTTTATTTTTTTGCTTCCACCAAATTTCTAACACCATGTTAACCTTCAAGCATGGATTGACCTTTCTAGAGAGAGTTGTGGAAGAAAGGAGAGTTGAAAAGAATAACACACCCAGACCTGAAGTGACTCCAACAAAAAAGATCCACAGGCACCCACTGGTGAATGACCTTCAGATTCATGCTGAGCCCCACGCTGCAAACCTTTGGTGCTCTTTGTCACACATTCTTCCCTGAAGTTCAGATTGAAGTGCAATCATAAGCCTGGAGCACACCCTAATGGAGACTTTGGAAAAGCTGAAAATGTCACAACCTGTAACGACCTGCTGTGGTGAAAGCAAAGTTGAATCCTCGACAGAGTGATGCAAGTGGCTGAGACTTTAGTTTCTTTTCCATTGTTATTGTGGTTGTTATAGTATTTTTGGAGACTGTCAGAAATATTTTAAAGCTTCAGTGCAGTTGATTTGACTTAACGGGTTTAAAGCAGACCCAAAAGTAAAAGTCTTGCTTTAGGGAACAAAAAATGATAACCTTTAATAACGTAAACACAGGGTTTTATCAACTGACCTTGTAAAGGAAAGAGCTCTATAGGTGGTTTACTCAAACAAAATCGAAATAATTTATGAAATTTTTTTTCCCTACTTTTAAACTCTAAAAGTATAATTATAAGAAAACTACTCTTGTTTCTTTTTTTTTTTTTTTTTATTTATTACCTGAGGAATATAATTAGTGTAAAAAATCAAACAGGGAAAACTGTGGTCTCCTAATTTTTCATGATATATATTCACAGCCCCAAACACGTGTAGATTACATTACATTAGTACAATATAGGGTTTTTTCTTTCAATAACTTGTCACACAGTGTCTTTAAAACAGTCTTTAAACTTAAATAAATCGATTTGGTTTTAATGTGATAGAACAGGACAACACAATGCATACGTACACATCCTGTGCAAAGAAAAGGATACACATTTTTGGATA